AATCTTTAAATTATGTTTATTTATCGTATATTATGTTATCAGAAATTATTTTAAATACTTTTATTTAAAATTAAATATAAAAAGTATCCAACGAAAACTAATCGTACGATATATGATAAATAGATAATATTTAAGGATTCTCAAAATTCTCACAAAAAAGATTTAGTTTGGATACCAGGCCAGCTGTCTCATATGACCCACTCACAAAAACACCATACCCCACCTCAATGATTTGTCAGGGCCACCATTTCTCAAATTTTGGTCTCACTCCCCCCTCATACAACACCCACTCTGAAGGCGCACCTAGGACCTTCTCCATAAATAGGCATGAGTTACAAGTTACAACTGAATTGAACGAATCAACGAAATACTAGAATAAAAGAATTATATTATTTAGACATCAAAAGCTGATATTATTTACTGGTACACTCTTGCTGATACATGCAGTCCTTACTAATAGAGTGTTCATCAGTCGTGTCTATTTTTGGTATCCAAATATAAATGAGTAAAACTAAGGAGAATAAATTTTTGAACTAAATTTTAAAAACTAAAGGACATGGAAGTTGATGATTGGTTTATTACTTAAGTGTTGATAGATGTGTTTTTTTTATTGGTGATACATCATTTAATTTGCAAATTTAATCTTCCTAACATTATTCAATAGAAAAAAAGGAAAAAAGGGGACACTAGACCTACATACCGCTACATAAAACAAGAATGTTCCAAGCTCGAAATAAGGTTTGTTCAAATCAGACACCATAAAACATGTAACCCTAGTGAACAAATTGCTTTGAATTTTTCCCAACGATCACACATTATTTCAATAAAATCACACTTCTCCAATTGTCGTACACATTTTCGCCACACAATCACACTTGTTTCATTCCGTGTCCAACATCATATAGCTGGCAGATGAACCAAATATATCCGCCACTGAGAACAACAATTCCAGTCCCAGCTAGCACGGTTGACATGAACCGCAGCACCGTAGATAAACAATTGGCATTAAGAGCTGAAGCAATGGCATTCCTAACTTGATGAAGTATTCGAAGATGGTGAAGATGGAGATGATCTATTTGGAATCTCAAAACCGGGCGGTACAGAAGGAGTTCTTTTACCAGAATCAAGTAACAATTTCGTTATTCCAAAAATAGGGATTAATTTGTTTTTCTTTACAACAGCCCTACAAACTGGGCAGCGGGGCTTATTGAGTAGTGATGAGCGAGCACAAAGCCTTCTGTATAAACAAGGCCAGCAGTAGAGGTGGCCACAAGGTGTTAAGATTGGGTCTTGATCAGCTAATTCAAGGCAGATGTTGCATCTGAAACAAGAAGCTTGATTATCTTCCATATCACGTGATGAATCACCAACCTTTATGATCTCCATATAACCATCAATAGCCTTCGAAATTACAAAATAAAACATCGATTATCAACCATAAGTATTTGCTGTGAAATAAAAAAAGGAGAGAAACAACAACCAAACATTTATCTGAAGAGAACATAGAATTTTGAAGCCAATTACATGGGCTTAAGCCGCTGAAGAAAAATAACATTAAGAAAAAAGGTTAAGGATTCGTTAGGAGAGAACTTGCACTCGATCGACAGTTTTATTTATTTACCTCTGTTTTCTTGCTCGGAAAATGTTATTTCCAGCCCTAAAAGCTTAACCAATTGAAATTTCTATTCGGGCAACAACCAACACATAATTCCAGTAAAAAAGAAATAGCGAGAAGAAGAATGAAATACAGAGACGCATGTCAAACTTCATAGCTAGATTTGATTATTCATCATAACTCAGTAAAGAAAAATCACAGACGACGCTACCTTGATCATAGGTTTAGGGTTTTACCTGAGATAAATCGCACTTTTGAAAGAATGCTTTCCATCCAAATTTCCAAGTTGTTAAAGCAAAGCTACATCATCATCATCATTATTATTATTATTATGGAAAAACTACACATAGGGTATACTTTTAATATTTAATTTTATATTGAGACAACACTTTTTTAAACATTTCAATGAGAGATAAAAAGTTAATACATGTCAAGATGACATCATTAGCATTTTTTCTCAAAATCGTGAATTACGAAAATACCCTCTCAGACAATATCACAAAACAGTAACGGCTGCCACCTGGGGTTCATGATACATAGACCAGAAAGAAGGCATTCATACCAAATGGTTTGGAGCCAAATGGCATGAAGACAAATAATTCCATCAGCAGTTCTTACTTGATCTCATCCTTGGGGAATTGACTCTGTTAAAATAAATGAAAATCATGGCCCACTCATTCACCCAAGGATCCACTTGGAACAAATGAAACAAATGTGCAGCAGAGTCAGAGCTTCTTACCTCCAATGGGATGATAAACTCCCCAGATTAATTACCTAATGGTGGTGGATCATTTTAGTAGTGTATTTGAAAAATTTTGATGGCAAGGAACCCGGGCATTTTCAAGATGGGGAGAATGGTTTGGGATCCAAGAATTTTCCATCGCCTGCTAATGATAATACAATTGAGGCAGAATGGATTGAACAAAATGAGTTGGGTGTTTATATAACTCTTGTGGCTTTGTGGGATAGAACTAGAGATCTCAAACGAGCATGCTTCAAGTACTTTGGGTTTTGTTGGTTTCTTAATACAATAGATATGTCAGCTGGTAGCCCAATGGTCTGTTAATCACATTGATGCTATATCTCTTGATCATCTCCTAGCCGGTAGCCCAAGTCTATCTCTTATTGGTCTCCCTATCCCACACATATATTTTCATTGTGATAATTTCTGGAATCATTTGCTGATATATTATTGTTTAATGTTTGGCAAGTTACTTATCTTTTTTGTAATTTTGAATTAATTCTGTGTATACTTGTTGCCTTTATGCTTCAATTAGATTGATTCTATTTGTAGCTTCTGATGTAGTATTAATTCATTTGCCTTCACATTTTCAGATAAAGTATTAAATTTTGATTTGTATATAATGTGTTAATTTTGGAATAATATGTATAGTGTTGTTTGCGAGATCGTGTAATGTGTGATTGCGCCTTCAGTCAATCCGTGAAGGATTGTTCTTCCCTTAGGCTAGGAAAATCTAAAAAATAATGGAAAAGCCAAGTCCACCGACTTAGGCTAGGAAAATTTAGAAAAATAATGGTCAAATATAGGTTGAACTGATTTTGCAAAAAAGGTCGAGGATGGGTTAAACTGATTCGGCAAACATGGTTGATGACTGATTGAATTAATTATGCAAAAATGGTCGACAATAGGTTGAACTGATTTTGCAAAAATGGTGGAGGACTGATTGAACTGATTCTGCAAAACTTATCGAGGACTGATTAAGTTGATTTTGCGAAAATGATCAAAGGCGGGTTGAACTGATTCTGCAAAAATGATCGAAGACGGGTTAAACTAATTCTGCAACAATGGTCGAGGACTCATTGAACTGAGTCTGCAAAAATGGTCGAAGACCAGTTAAATTGATTCTGCAAAAATTTTCCAAGACAGGTTGAACTGATTCTGCAAAAATGATTGAGGACTGATTGAACTGATTTTGCAAAAATGATCGAAGACCGAAAAATGGTCGAAGACGGGTTGAACTGATTCTACAAAAATGGTCAAGGACTGATTGAACTGACTCTACAAATAGTCAAGGACCGGTTGAACTAATTCCGCAGAAATAGTCAAGGACAGGTTGAGCTTATGACACATATTAATTTTGTATGAGTTGTGAAAGGTTGGGTTCTATTAATAGCCCTAAAACCTTAAGGGTATGGCTAGTATTTTAAAACATTATATCTATGTTTTTGTGCTAGGCTTTAGTTGTTTTTATGTTTTTATCTTTCCTTGACATGTTTAAAAACTAGTGGAGTTCCTTGGAGTATAGGAATTTTTTTTGTCTCTCTATATAAAGCTTCCTCATTATGGAAAATTACACATAGAGTATACTTTTAATATTTAATTTTATATTGAGACAACACTTTTTAAACACTTCAAGAAGAGACAAAAAGTTAATACATGTGGAAGATGACATCATTGGCTTTTTTTTCTCAAAATCGTGAGTTACGAAAATACCCTCTAAGACAATATCGCAAAATAGTAACGCTGCCACCTGGGGTTCATGATACAGAGACCATAAAGAAGGCATTCGTGCCAAATGGTTTGGAGCCAAATGGCATGAAGCCAAATAATTCCATCAACAGTTCTTACTTGATCTCATCCTTGGGAATTGACTCTGCTAAAATAAATGAAAATCACGGCCCACTCATTTACCTAAGGATCCACTTGGAACGAATGAAACAAATGTGCAGCAGAGTTGGAGCTTCTTACCTCCAATGGGATGATAAACTCCCTAGTTAAACTACCTAACGGTGGTGGATCATTTCAGTAGTGTATCTGAAAAATTTTGATGGCAAGGAATCTGGGCATTTTCAAGATGGGGAGAATGGTTCGAGATCGAAGATTTTTTCATCGCCTGCTGATGATAATCCAATTGAGGCAAAATGGATTGAACAATATGAGCTTGGTGTTTATATAACTCTTGTGGCTTTGCGGGATGGAAGTGGAGATCTCAAACGAGGTGAGCTGGTAGGCCAATGATCTGTTGATCACATTGGCCGTAACATGCTACATCTCTTGATCATCTCTCAGCTGGTAGCCCAAGTCTATCTCCTATTGGTCTCCCTCTCCCACACATATATTTTCATTTTGTGATAATTTCTGGAATCATTTGCTTATAAATTATTGTCTAATGTTTGGCAAGTTACTTATCTTTTTCGTAATTTTGAATTAATTCTTGTGTATAAAGCCTTTATGTTTCAATTAGATTGATTCTATTTGTAGCTTCTGATATAGTATTAAACTACATAAATTAACAACTATCTTTTGTTATGGTTTTCACTTAGGCTTAATTCAAATCTCTCGCCCTAAATATGTGGTTGTATTAAGAACTTTCAAAAAAACAAAAAAAAAAATGTACTGGAAATTGCCTTGTGGCCCAATCGGCTGGCCATCCTCCATAACATATCCATCCATCCCCTTATCCTCTCAATGCCTACCGCCTAAATTAACGACGCCCACACACTCACCAAACTCCCTATTTTCCCAGTTGCTTGCGATGCCACTGCTTCACACTCTTTCCATCATCCCACCTCCCTCTCCCTCCTCCTCCTCCTCCTCTATCGCCACCTTAAACCCTAATCCCCATCCTCCCTCCCACTTCATCAAGTTCCGTACATCCTACCGCGAAAACCTCCGGTACCTCAAAACCCTGCGCATCATCTCCCCCGAAACCAGCCCCAAAAAGCTCCCCCTCCCCGACGCCACCGACCAAATCCTCGCAACCGTAGGTTTCCTCAAGTCGAAGGGCTTTACGGACTCCGACTTCCCAAGACTGGCCTTCCTCTCCCCTAAGCTCTTCTCCCCCTCCCTCGATCCAACTGACATTGCCCCCGTCTTTGATTTCCTGGCTTCTGATCTCTCCGCTGACCCTGCGTTTTCCTGCGGCCTCATCCTTCGCTGCCCCGACCTCCTATTTGCGGATGTCGAGTTCTGCCTCCGCCCAACACTGCATTATCTTGAACAGTTGGGGATTGACAAGCCCAAGTCACCGTCGAATCTGAATGCACATTTGCTGAACACTAGGGTGGAAAAGCTCAAGAAGAAGATGAGGTTCTTGAGGAGTTTAGGGCTTTCGTACGAGGAGGCGGCCAATGTGTGTGCGAGGCTGCCAGCGATTTTCGGGTACAGTGTGGAGGATAACTTGCGGCCCAAGTATGAATATTTGGTGAAGGATATGGGAAGGAGCGTGGAGGAGTTGAAGAAGTTTCCGCAGTATTTTGGATTCAGTTTGGAGAAGAGAATTGTCCCCAGGCATTTGCATTTGAAAGAAAGGAATGTCGAGATTCCGTTGAATAGGATGCTATTGTGGAGTGACCAAAAGTTTTATACAAAGTGGAAATAATCAAATCGATGAATGGTATGTAAGCCAGTTTGTTAAAAGATTTGAGTAGAAACATAAGTTTAACAATTTTTGTTCCGTATGCGAGTGGAGAGACATGTTGAACGTGGATTTCTTGGAGATACATGTTGGAATAAGTAGCCCAACGGCTTGCTATTCAGAAAATCATAATTTGTACGGTTAATGGAGAACATCCATCGAGGGGAAAACAATCCCCGGAGGACAGCCTGCATACCATTCGTTACCGTGACCGGAATTGTATAAGAACGGATCACAAATTGGAAACTCAGAACACACGCTCCAGAAGACGAATTAGAGATATAAGAATTGCCAACCATTGTCTGTAATGAATAATTAGGCACTGTATAAAAAGGGTTCACACGTTTCAAGTGCATTTCCATCGACAATCTTGAATGGTACAATTGACACCGTCGTGACACATTTCTCATTCATAGACTGCGATTAAACTCAGTTATAAACAAGAGAGAGAGAAGTTTGACAGCTTGTCGTCGTAACACCCAACCAGGGAGTTCCTCAATCGTTGGATACTATTTTCGAACCAGAATCATTGTATCCTTTTTCACACGTCAAAATGATGCATATATTTGGAATCATGTGCAATTGCATGTCTCCACAAAATTGCACGGCTACTGCAGTCCAATATTGAGAATCACTTCGACAGGTAAATCACCGGTTCCAAATCCTATCAAGAGTAATCAAAAGATCGCAAGAGAGGGAAGAATTAGCAACCTGCAAGATCAACATAGCCACACGTTCCAGCGTAGTTGAAATGTCCCAAACAATTTCACAGCTGAGGATAGCAATTTACCAAGGATTCAGAGAGCGAGCTCTATTTTGTTAAAAGTTCAATGTCCGCTCCAACTTCAGCAATCTTGGTTTCTTTGGAAGCCTTTGCTATTTTAGCAATGTTTTCAACATCAAAGTCAATAGCTATCTTTTTCACAAAGCCCTCAAGCATCTGTTTTAGACAAGTCGCAAAACAACATAATGAGCATTACTGATCAGACCAATATAACCACTGAGAGGCGATTTCTGATAGAGTAAAATGATTCAAGATAATCTAGACAGCTATATGAGACTCACATGTACAAGAAAAGTAAAACAGTGGTCCACCCGAGTAAAATAATCTCAAACTATGAAAGCATGCAGAAAAAAGACCCAAACAAGAAAAAAAACATCCAGGAAACAAGCAGAACAAAAAACAACCAAGGAAACATGAAAACTAAGAGATGGCTGATCATGGAAAACATTTTAAGACTATTGGAAAAAAAATTTGTATATTTATTAGGTGAAGAATATATTATCCTTGTCTAACATAAGTTTTGTTGCCCTACCCAATAACAATATGTAAATGTATTCTTCCCTTATTGTGTATTTAACTATCTACCTATATTTTGGAAATTGCTTAAAGACAAAACATCAAGTCGTAAAAGTTTTAAAATACATTCGAAATTGTAAGCATGGAAGATGATGGCCCTCTTTTTCACATTCTGTATTATGGTGTGGAGCAGGTTTCTTCCAAGAACTGTTACACCTTCCTGATGTTTTAGTGGGGATCAGCAAACAAGGCGGCTATTACAGTATTACTCCTCTACACTGTATTTAAACTACATTGTTGTACGGGAACAAAAGGATCGTTAACATTAGAGCAGAGAAGATGATGGTTTGCTTGTCGATTTGCACAGGTGATCTACCTAGCCATCTCCTTTTGTATTTTCTGATTCTTTCATATTACATTATGTTAATACACCTCTCCATGTGCAATGGGACAATCGCTCGGCTTTTTGTAATAATTTTTACTTTCAAAAGAGTTTTCTTGAGATTTCAAAATTGTGAAACTTGCTAAACAAGTGAACAGCATTCTAATGAACATAAAAAGTAAGTACCATACCCAAGCCATGAACTGGCCCGTTGTACCACATATATGATAAAAGTTACAAAATGGCACACACTCTACAAAAGAAAAGATATTCTGGTATATTGAAAGAGGATAGGGCACCATTGAACCAAGATATATGAAAGACCATGAAAACACACAAAAAAATGCCCTTGGGGGAAAAGGAAAAATAAGAAAGAAAGCAAAATATGCCAACTGATTTTCATGAAAGGCAAGTACCAGCATTAAATGGTTATGAGTTCTCAACACATACCAGTGATCCAATGGCAACTAAAGCCCGAAATTTTGCATCAGCGTCTAGATTTTCTTCTTCTGCAATCTGCCCAAAAATAAATCACTTTCATGATTCACAACATTTTAGAAATTCTCTACAGGATAGAAAGATACTCTAGTCCACCTCAAAAAAAACAGGGGGCCTCTTACGTCCAAGTTCAACTTTTGAGGATGGTACTTGAATAAATAAGCAAATAATTGCAGAAGAAGAAAAGGCAAGTAATAAGATGATGTATTAAGTATTATACCTGAAGTGCTGAAGAAAGAACCTGGGATTGACCTTCTTGATCCTTCTTTTCGGTTAACAAAACAGCATAACTATCAATCCCAAAGGAAAAACTCGCTTAAAAAAGAGTATTATATAACAAGCGTGGAGCACATTATGTAACAAACATCAAATTTTCCATTTTTGGTTGGCTTTACAGTCTTTGTTCATCCTATTACGTGGAACTATCACAAATTTGGAGAAAGAAAGATAGGGGGTGGAAGGACAAGTTCTTTCATGTATTATTACTAATTAGACATATTGATTTTGCATTGTCCATGCATAACCTATTATGCATATATCATATATGACAGGCAGACAGTATAACTTTCAACCTCCCTTTAACTTTCTTCTTTACATGCATAACAAGTTAAAAACTTGAACACAGAGGTATACAAAGATGAAAATGTCGGTATTGGTGGAAATATTGGTAGAATGTTGATAGCAAATATTATTATCGAAAAGACGAAATTTATTTTAAAATATAGAAATTCAAAATGAAACTTTAGGAAATGCTAAATAGGTAACTATAAACAATGCATCATTTCTTATTATGAGAAACTAAAAACATATCAATTAAACAAGTCTGATATAGCATAAATATGAATCAGGATATACTTGGATCAAAATACCGTGACACATAGGACCTTCAAACTTCAAGTCAAAAGCGTAAACACTTCTTACTTTCATTTACATAAGCATTCTAATGGGTATCTTTAACCGAAAACAAAAACTCAAATTCTAAATTGCAAGCTTTTTTTTTTTTTTTTACTTTATAACTATGTGACCATATTATTATCGAAAAGACGAAATTTATTTTAAAATATAGAAATTCAAAATGAAACTTTAGGAAATGCTAAATAGGTAACTATAAACAATGCATCATTTCTTATTATGAGAAACTAAAAACATATCAATTAAACAAGTCTGATATAGCATAAATATGAATCAGGATATACTTGGATCAAAATACCGTGACACATAGGACCTTCAAACTTCAAGTCAAAAGCGTAAACACTTCTTACTTTCATTTACATAAGCATTCTAATGGGTATCTTTAACCGAAAACAAAAACTCAAATTCTAAATTGCAAGCTTTTTTTTTTTTTTTTTTACTTTATAACTATGTGACCATACTAGCAGGCTAGTATTCCTACTACCAAGTTTAATTAAAGGTGGGTGGGTGTGTCTCTGTTCGAAAGTCCATTACACTAACGTGGAAAAATATGCGCAACAAAAGCACAAAATATCCTAAAAGTAACATGTTGGTGACACCATTGAGACATCCGTACACAAAGAGAATGATAATATCTTAACAGTTCTCACTGACACCAAACCCACCAGTTCTCACTGACACCAAAACCAACAAAATCCAAATTACATATCACTACGATGTCCATGTCACCAATTCTTCATTGTCGATAAAATAAAAAATGAAAATTTCAGCATGTCAATATTTATAAAAACCTAGCCCTAAAGCAAATTTATAAATTAAGTGAAAGCTACAAAGCCTCAAATTTATTCAAACAACGTTTATAATTAGAATGCTAATACGCTACAGAAACAATTTCCCTGCAGAAATAAATCCAAAAGGAAGGAAAAGGAAAACAAGGTCAACCATGCATTATGATCACAGTTTTACTTGAAACAGATTACATATGCAGGCAATAGTAAACTTACTTGAGAATCAAGGTTGCATATGATAACTGCAAATTCTTATTTGGAGATGAATAACAACTTGAATACACATCTAGAATCTGCAAGGCCATTCAACAAATCAAATTACTAAATCATGATATCCAGAATCCAAGATGCACTAACCATGAAAAGCAGTGTACCACTTGCCATAACAGTCATTACTCAAGTACAAAAACACATCTTTTTAGTTGTTCAATACATATTCACACAACCGGACAATATATCTATATTAATGATTCATTCAAGCAAGTGATCGAATCAAACTCAATATAATGATTCCTGCAACAATCAAAGGATAGATATCCTTAACAGAAAATATTCATCATAAAAAAAAAATAGAAAGAATGCAATAAACATTTAATTTACAACTTTACATGTTATATAACTGCCGAATCATTAACAAAGAACTACATTTGTACAAGTAATCATGCAAGGTGGAAACGGATCTGCAAATGTGACTGGGAAAGAACCCCTTTATCCTCTCAAAAACCATAATGGTCACATGAACAATCCTGAAGGAAGGCTAACCTCAGTCCGATGCTTTTGTAACCAATTGTAGTAGCACGAATTCTTGAAAAGATTGGTCACTGCACGAACACTTGTTAAGAGATTAGCAGGAAGTGGCGGATTTGTTGCAACTTTTCTGATCAACTCCATTAGTAAATCTGGTTAGACAACAAAAGGTAAGAAATAGAGATAAAAGTTGAAGAGGACAGCAACAATGAGAAGCATGGCATTTGCAACATTGTTAATTTTTTCTTATACCATATGTAGCATGCATTTAAGGATATCAACTTGAGCATGTTCCTAGAAGATCAGCCCTCATCAACCAGTCTTTTTTTTTGGTCTTTCAACAGGTCTTTATTGTTATGTATTTTTATAGTTCACGATAAAAAGTGAAGTACTTATCTATTTAAGATAAGAAGAAACTACTGCACAAGATAAAAGTACAGCATTGGATATATGTAGCATGAGTACCATTTTCAGCTTCAAGATGCTGGAGAAGCCGAGTTGCCCCATCAGGGTGCAGAACAATCATCCTCAAAATCAATAACTGCAGATATAAAATAACAAATATACTTGAGTAGGCAAAATTATTTATGAAACATAAGGTGTCCACACAATAAAACTACACACCCATAGACTTCCGATGTATCAATGAACGAGCATTCAACAATTCACATTAAAACAAAGCTTACTGATTTTGTGCTAAGAAAATATACTGACTCTTATTGCCATACATATGAAAAATGAGATGTTATGAGCAGTCGTGTTATGTATAAATGGCCCCAATCCCAATGCAGGAATTTTACCTTTTCAAAATGAAAAATCAACTATACACACTTATACTCAGATAATTCATGTCCTTTTCTCTACCATTTTTCATTTTTTTAACCTGTAGCCATCAATCATAAAGCTAAGAATCCACTTCAGCTACATGTGTAAAAAAAATGAGGTAACCTGCAAGCTGGCAAGATTCAGTTATAATGCCTAAGACACAATCAGCCACGAGCCAATTCAAATAGTTGAATCAATTTGAGATTGCGTAGTCTAGCATGAACCATCCAGTTATTAACTTGAGTTCATTCTTATACAATGATTTTTTTAGTGTCAACTTGTAACCCAAACAGATGGAATAAATGTGCTCCAAGACCTCTAAAAGATGAACAGAGCTATACACAGAATTCCTCAAAAGTTCGCACACTAACCTGGAAATAACATTGCAACTGGCCATGATTTTAGCAATCTCACCAACAAAGCAATGTCAACTTCGGCAAATTTACTAGAATGATAATGTGATGTGTCCTTCAATATTTTAACTATAGCACCCAACCTGGAAATCTCAACCTCATTTAAAGATGAGTTCTTCTTATCCTTCAAGAAATTACCAAAGGATCCATTATTCAGGAAAACATCCTATGGTTAATAGAAAAAAAAGAGACACAATTCTAAAACAGAAAAAGAAAACTACTTGTACCAAGCTGCTCCTCAGGTTCGGCTAACAAGCTTGGAATTTAAAAATATAAATAAATATAAAGATATAAAGTAATAAAAATATTATTTTGGAGTTGTTCAAAACCCTATCATGTACAATGAAAGGAATAGGAAAAAAAACAATGAAAATAACTCCAAATTAATATTTCTATTAGTTTGTTTAAAAATAATGAAAATAACTCTAATTTGGAGTTATTTTCATATTTTCGAATTAATATTAATTTGGAGTTATTTTCATATACTTCATATAAACTAATAAAAATACTTAAACAAGTTTTGATGGAGTACAAGTTCTGCTACATGTATAATAACAATGCAAGTAAATATCAGAAAACAGTGATAATAGAAGTAGGAACCTCAATAGTTTCTATGAAAAATATAATTCTTCCCTTTTCAAAGTGCTTATAAGTAATTCAATTAGGAGTGAGGTGAGGATGGTAACTTAATTACCTTGCACTCTGTTTCTTCTTGTTCAATTAGAATGAACACGCATAATTGAGTGATCAAACCCAAAGAAAAATTCAAATTTAACTAGTGTAGCAAGCCTGTCTATTTAACAATGCATCATCTACTAACTTTGTAATTTGTGTTTCAGTAAATATCAGATAACTCCCTATATGCATCACCATACAACTAGAAATGAAGCAATGGGTAGCTTACAATTATCTGTTAAATATGAGGACGTTTCAACAATGACAAAGAATCATAATTGTAAAGATTGGTAAAAACTTAACAAAGGGACCGGCGGGATTTATTTTCAGTTGAATGATAGCAAGTTATAATGCTACTGTCTACAGCAATATGCCAATTTGTAAAAAATGAAAATAATTTGAAAAACAAATGAAAGTTTCAGGCATGCAAAACAACAAACCTGGTCAGAGAGTAAATTACTGTTGAACTCTGTAATCTTCTTTAGGATCCCATCAAACTGGGCGACGTCAAAAACAAGCATTCCTTTCTGAAACAATAAAAGCCCCAACCAGGCAAAAAAAATGAGATTGAAATAATGATTTCAGTGTAGAACTGTGACTACCAGTATTTGCGTCTAAGAATAAAGCATTCCCAAAGATGACTAGACTTAGTTGCAGTAAGTTTTTACCCCAACTACTAGGGAACAGCTATGGAAACATTAAGCCCATAAGCAATCTAATGATAGTGCACAACCTCAGTTATTTTTCCTTTTCCCTTATTTGAAGGATAATGACAAACAATAAAAAACATTTGGCCTAAGCTATAACTACATTGTCAGAGAAATTATCAACATCTAATACATGCTCAGCTTTTAAAACCCAGTTATTAAGTGGGGTTTCCAGATCGTACAAAATAATCAAATTGTGCGCGTTAGTTTCCATACAGAACACTCAATACAATAAATCATCGATAAGTTCAAAATACTCACTCAACTGGGCCTTAGCTTCAACCACATGGATGTGCCAATAGGTCTCATATCGACCCTGGTCTTTACCTAAACCACTATTTTAGAAGTACTGAAGCTAAGAGCCTTCACTATTGAGCTAAGTATATAGTACATGGATAAAACATATAACTTCAATGCGATCAGCCAATACTTTGCATTAACTCACAGTGCATTGCAATCTAATAGATACATCTCAAAAGTTTAGCACGAGCTGAAAGATTCTACCTTAGGAATATGCTTGAAAGTAGGTTTTGCAGAAGCTGTTACAATAAGAGAAACAAAAAAAAACCAATAACTGTTATTGGTAAATTTATAGTAAAGATTAAAAATATGGCATATCTTATTCAATTAAAGAAAATAGAAAAGGCAAAAAGATACATACCAGACTTGTTTGAAGATTGTCCGGGTACATAAGCACTTGCTGAAATAATGAAAAGATAAACAAGTAGTTAATCAAGTGAAAAATGGAAAGCAAACAAGGACGCTATATCACATGAATCACCAACCTATAAAGGTTAGATGGCCACGATAGAATACTTACACCCAGTGTAGGGATCACGAAATGATGGATCAAGGTCGAAATTATTTTGTCCAGTATTTTGGAGGATGAAAGCGACAACTTGTTCTCGGTAGGAAAGAGGAAGGTTCTCCCTCAGAAGCCACTTGTCAGCAGTATCATATGGATTATCTGAAACATTAACAACTCAGTGTCACATTCTTGCAATAATGTCTTTAAGTCACACCAACTACAACTAAGGGCTAAAAGAGGACTGATACCTGATCGATTGTAAGGCAGCTTACGAATAGGCTCTCCATCTCCAATGTCGACATCAAATACTGCAGAACAAGAATATGTGTTCATAAATTTTAAAATATCTACGTAGAGAAGAAAAATCAGATCAAACATTGACACAGATGTAAGATCCAGACCATAATCATATTCGTTTCCATCAAGAACAGGACGCTTCATGCTGTCATCTGGCCCATCGACAACCTCGCCAATCTGAATTGAAAGAAGTAACAGATGAAGGTTCCCAACTTTTCAAGAATTATACACAAACATCAGCAGCATGAAACTTTTAGTTAGCTCTTGTTTCAGTTCTTTATTTAGGAAGCACATTTGTATGACCTTGAGGTACTGTGAACCCAGCAAGAGGATTAATACTTTAAAAGGTAAATTGTACTAAAGGACTAGACAAAAATTGATCCATGAAAAAAAGATTATCTCTCAACCTATAAATCTCTGAAACACAAAGGTATGTCTCTGTTACGGACCACAATGAAACCAACAGGGGTTCAAAACTACTCGTATCATTTTTTATTGTTTTGACTGCAAACAATTATGCAGGCATTACCTAATTCAACAGCTCAAAAAATGTAAATCCCTAGAACTAATCCTAAACTTAAATGATTGTATGAAAGCATTAAAGTTCAAGATCACCGCATCAATCATATGTTGAATAAGGGGCGAAAGTACAAAACTACTCATATCATTTTTATTGTTTTTTTTTTTCTACATTTTTTATTGTTTGGACTGCAAACAATTATGCAGGCATTACCTAATTCAACAGCTCAAAAAATGTAAATCCCTAGAACTAATCCTAAACTTAAATGATGATATGAAATCATTAAAGTTCAAGATCACTGCATCATCAATCATATGTTGAATAAGTGGCGAAAGTACAAATACACCCATAAATCAGAGGCCTAACCTAATGAATGGCATAGGCAAATTGAATAATAAATGTGCTAGTCCCAAATCTTTTTACACTGAAACCATACATCTTGACCCTCAAATTAGCCCCCAAAGCAAAAGGTATGGGAACCTAAACGTGATTGATACACTAATATAAATACCATCAGTTGTATGTCCTAAAATCCAACATCTGCAAAGCACAAACACTTGAGCCATTTCAAACACAGCCATTTCAAAACTCTAGTGTCTGCAGCCCAAAGCATAGATTTTTTTTCCCACAGGAATGTTGTTCATATAAATTCTTTCAAAACACACTTATTTTCTTTTAAAAGAGCTGCCTTTAAGTAAGAAGCTGGTGCACCTGCAATGATAACATGATTGCAAGGATTTGAAAAGGAGGGAGTCCACAAGGCAGGCCTAATAACTAGCCAAACCACCTGTACAAGCAATCCATACCAACTGTTTTAATCTAAGTGGATGTCAATATTTCCTCTTGCTGTCAATTTTAACAGCAATGTCTTTTTATTTTTATTAAACCATAAAACACCCATGCTGCTTCTTTGTCGTTGGTTTCATCTTGAATAATGATCCATGTTTCCCCTGGTGTATGATTTTTGCAGATGATAAAGTGTTGATAGATGAAATGCAGGAGGGAGTAAATGCGAAGCTTAACCCTTGGCGGGAAATGTTGGAATCTAAAGGTCTTCGCCTAAGTAGGTCAAAGACTGAGTATATGGAGTGCAAGTTTAGTGGGAATGAGGTCCAAATGAGATAAGGGTGAGGGTTGGAGATAGGAAGTACCAAAGAGTGAACGATTTCGTTTTCTTAGATCTATCTTGCAAAAGAACGGAGAATTGGATGGAGATCTCAACCATAGAATACAAGCTTGATGGATGAAGTGGAAGAGTGCATTGGGTGTGTTGTCCAACTGTCGTACGCCACTAAAGCTCAAGGGAAAATTTTATAGGATGGCAATAAGGGAAGCAATGCTTTGTGGCACGGAATCTTGGGCGTTCAAGCATCAACAAAAAAATGAATGTAACAAAGATGAGAATGCCTCATTGGATGTGTGGCCAAACGAGAAAGCACAGAATTAAGAACGAGGATATATGAGGTAAAGTAGGAATGGCCGCAATTGAAGATAAGATGAAAGAAAATCGGTGAAGGCAGTTTGGACATGTGAACCGCAAACCTTCAAATGCTCTAGTTAGAAAATGCGATAATGAGATAGAAGCAAATGGCAAAAGGGGTAGGGAAAGACCTAAGAAGACTTGGAAAGAGACTTTAAAAAAAGACATGGAGTACTTGGGAGCTAACTGAAGACTTAGGGCAAAAACGAGCACAATGGCATTCTAGGATTCATACATATAGAAATTGCGTTGACCCCACTTAGTGGGTCAAGGCTTTGTTGTTGTTGTTGTCAAATTGCCATGTAAGCTATTAAATTTTATTTGATATCCTAAATTTGACATTTCCATTGAAGATGATCTATGGATATTAATTTGAAAAAGTGAATTACCTTATCCCACTTCTGTTCTCTCATATTCCATACATATGCCACACCATTGTCCCCCTCTCTGACAACTTTTGTCTGGCCATCACTGGTTCCTGATGACAATACCAGACAACATAATTTGATGTGAGATTTATACTTGTCAAAAGAATACAACAATCACATAATCTTAGCAACTTAGTGGAAGATCTCACTAACTGATGCCGCCCAAACCACATAAAAAAGTATAACATGATATAAGTACAAAAGACTTGTCTTTCTCAAATTGAAAAGTTACACTAAAATCCTCTAGAGTAAAATTGAAATCGCACCTGGAATCTGTAAGGCTTCTAGTCCAGGTAATTCTTCCAGTTTCAATCCTCCGACCCTCTTCCTAAGAGAAACAAGTTATTGCATAAATACAAGTAAAAAAGGTGAAGAAGATGACACAAATAGTAACCAAGAAATGATGTCTTAAATCACAAAGAAATAGATACTGACAAAATTTAGAGCATCTAATGCAAACCAATAGGCTAGGTGGTCTAGATGTTTTATATTGTGGCGTGAAGGCTTCGAATACCCAATGAAGGATTTTATATTCTCAAAGATACCCTGCCATAGACTTCCGTAAAGGAAAGGGGAAAACAAGAACTAAATACTAGAGGGAGGGTAAGAGATCACTAGAAGACAACATATGCCTATCAGGTAACCATTACAAAAGGATTTATATTATTATAAGAGATTATAGTCAATCTAATTCTGGAGCATTGTGCAGACAGACAGATGGGTCAAGTCCATATTATTAGGCATGGCAGGTTCATAGCTGCTACATGACATACAGGAAACCAGAAGATGGCCACACCTGCTAATTTTGTGCTGAGAAAGTTGGGAGAAATATGACTCCACTTCTAGGGCATCTGCAATTTTATCCTGATTTATGGTCCAGACGCGTACAGCTCCATCAGAACATGCTGTCACAATATCCCCATTTTCCAAGAATTTTGCATCCCAAACACAGCCAGGATGCTCTATGCTCTGCATGCAAACTCCATCTGTAAAAGACAGTACTTCCACTTAAATTACAATTCAGGCCAAAATTGACCACTTCTACCTAAACTTAAGACTATAAAACTGATGCTTATGCCCTCAGATTTTGAAATTGCTAATTAACATTCTGATGCTTTCTACAAAGCAAATTTCACTGGCAAACATAAAGAAAAGAAAAAAAAAAGTCCAATGTCCAAGAATCCTTGGAGTAAGGTGTTTGAATCTTTCTTTTTTATTCCCCATCCCACAACCAAGCACCAAGCAAGAATTCTTTGATAGAATTAAGGTTAAAAAATTAATCACATTCGTAATTTTGATGCAATTGTTTTCCAAGAAACGAGAACGCCTGGGAAAACAGGAAAATTACAAAGAAAGATGGACAAGGAGTCCATCAGGAATCAAACACAAGAAAAACAAAGAAAAGCTACTAGACCCATAAGGTTTTTTTGCAATAAAGTCCTTCCATCCACAAAAGAGTATAAATGGGTCATAAAAAACCACAAAAAAATTGCTGCAATTTCTTCAAAGTAAGAATTGGATTAACTTTGTATTCCTCATGTATGAATAGCAAGCTGGGAATTAACTAACACAACTGACCAACAGCCTGCCTGTGAGTGACCTCAATTTCTTACACCGAACAAGAGCAGGCGAAAAGCACACCAAAATTTGCATGATAGAACAAATAAAAATTATAAGTGAAAAATAAAAAAAGTAGCATAAAAATCAGCAGCAGTTACCCTTCCATATCTTTGCAAAACAATCTTCGCTGCTACTGACTATTAGTCCAGACACATGTGAATCAACAGAATAGACAATTGAAGTATGACCAACCATCTCCATTAAAACTTCACCACTTAGAGCCCATAACCTGATGGAACTGCAGCATGCCAAAAACAAAAGGTATAGTTATAGAGACCTTCAATCCAAACAGACACCTTCGTTTTTGTTTGTTTGTCTTTTTCTTTTTGGGTGGGTGATGGATTGAATGAGAGAAACAAGGAAATTAAGACACCAACTAGCATATCCGAGGAGAAACAATGGAGCATTTATTATTTAATAAGTTTACAAACAGGACATTTTCTAGTAACACTTGGAAATTTGACAACATAAATTTAAATTCAATATTACCCAAAAAGGGAGACTTGCTCAGACTCAGAGTTAGTAAAATAATAATGTGGTAGAAAATTGTCTTATAATGGGCGCATTTACGCAATATAAGTCAATATATTCAACATGTTCCCAATATTTTAATAAAAAAGGTCGTTCCCAATATTTTAATAATTGTCAAAATTTTCAAAAGCAAGAGACATTGTGACTACATACTCTATGAGTGCTCATGTATGTGTCTTTCAGTATGTGAATGGGTAGTACTATCCCCACATCCATTTTACTTCTCACACACCTATCTTAATTTCCAGCCGTCAAATCAAATGAATTGAAGAAGATCCATAGTTAAAAATTAACAAGGTTGTGTAGGAGGTAAAATTGGGTGTGCGAATAGCACTACACTATGTGAATATATCTTCATAATACTACAGGACCACGTTACACTCTAAGCAGTAATTAGCATTAATTGTAGAATAAGCATCGTTTTTTATATGTTGTACATCAAGACAGAATTAGAATCCAATCATTCATTTTCTCTGTGCTAGAGTTGAGTTAACAAGCTCCTAGTTATAGTGTCTGACAATCGATTTTTAAACATGATTTCTGTATGCACATTAAGCAGCTTTTGGATGTTTTATTTTCATTTTGAATGCACATTAAGTTATTCTCTACTCATTCCCTACCAACACTAAGACATGGCTTCAGAATTATGTTCATTTTAAAGGAATATCCTCAAACCAACTAGATTCAATATAAGCACAAACAAATGCAAAATCAAGCTCACCCATCATGTGAAGCAGAAAGAATTCCCAATTCGGACATCACTGCCAAGCCTCTTACAGTGTCTGCAAAATGTGTTAGTACATGCATACCATAAGTAACTGCAAACATTCTGTGCAAGTCCTTTTTCTAAATAGGGCATTCTATGCATTTTATTTATGTTCCAAAAGAAAAAAACTTAAAGCCAAAAGACATTCTGTGAAAGTGAGGACTCAGGAGTGCGAGTTATCTTCAAATCAAATCATCTTCATGGCAACTTATATCCAAATGTTATCTTTCTAGCTCTCATTTAATATCCTATTAATGGAAATCACAAAGCATAGTAAAACAGTCTCTTAGTTCTTCAGTAAGCCACAACGTCTAATACTCCCAAACACTATCACATTTCTTCAGGGCCTACAAAATCCAAATGACCTAATAAAATTAACATAGGAAAACGCATTACCTGAATGCCCAACAAAAGTACGAGTGCATGTACTTCCCCTCCAAAGTTTTAAAGTAGTATCGCTTGAACCTAGATAGAGAAAACAGAATAAACACCATTCCAAGAAAAAGATAAATGCATTTGAATACAGACTGTGATGAAAATAATCATGTGTGGATTTCCCATAAATTTAGGGACCAAAGTAGAAATGTAAACAGGGCATAAAAATCAAATAATAGGTACCGGAAACTTCCATGGTATGGTGTGTCTTATATTGATTGCGTAATAGAAATGACATTGTAGTGTCCACTAGCAGTCTAGAATCCCAAAAGTAACATGGTTCCCATTGACATTATGACCAACTCAAAGTCTTGAATGAATTAAAATGCTAGTAAGGCACATAATTGACTGCAGCAAACTTTCATAGTTATCACAGCTAAGAGACCAGGAACTCTCATCTAATGAAATTTTGATCCTACCTACATGTATCACATAGCATATATATCAACTACACACAATGCCTAAACATGAAATGTGCCACTTACAAGCCCCAAAAGCTACTCATCCAACATGCATCACATGGTGCGGTCAGCTAAGCCGGCCGGCTTAGTAACCCCCCCTCAACCACAATGTCACCTATCCAACCACTGTAGCAGAGTCTTCTTACTGGCTCAGCTGGGCCAAACAATTGACAGTTCACTACTGTGTTTCTAGTTTCTGCTCACTTTATTTTTATTGTTGTTTTTTTTTTTTTTTTTTTTTGGTGGGGGGGGGGGGGGGGGGAAGTACTGGATAGAGACATCACTTGCAACAGGTTAACAACCATACCTGTGACAAGCTCGCCCGAAGGAAGCTTTATAACTGCTTGGATGGCTGCCTTATGAGCCTCCCAAGACTCTACCAACTGCCCATTCCTCCATCGCCTTAAAGTACTGTAGAAAAAGACGGCAGAAGATATTTAACATCACAGTTTCAGCATGGTAACTCCAAACCAACTCATTTCACAATAATTTGCTCATTGGCAAAATGAATATAGCGCAAAGATCAAATCTTTGACCACATCACGCGTCAACAAACAACAACGAAAGTTAATGGTACAACATGCAAAAAGTTCATCCAACGTATCCAGCAAACTTGGAATAGGGTAAAAACCAAAAACTCACGAGTCAACAGAAGATGAGACAATGTCCCCATTATCCAAAGCGATGCCTGTGACCTGCAACTGATGGCCCTTAAGAGTTTGCACCTTCTCCCCAGTCCTCAAGTCCCACACCAGCACCATTGTATCCATCCCGCCGGACACAATTCCACCATCAGGGTATTGCTCATTGGGTGAAATCCACACCACTGGGCCCACAAAACTGGTGTGGCCGAGCAGAATCTTCGACTCCGAGTACCTCCGTTCATCAGAAGGGTCCAAGGACCAGAACCTAACAGTTCGATCACGCGACGAGGTGGCTATACCCGCATTGCCACACACAGAAATCCCACGAACCTAAATCCAAACTCATTGTTCATCATCAATCACCAAATTTCAAGTACAGAAAAAACCCAAATTTTAGTTCAAATCCTTCCGGTAAATAAACAGTGCAAAATTATCGAAATTGATTGTAGATTCTGATAAATTGTGTGAAAAAATGAAAGGGGTTTTGTGGGTGAGAGATCTTACGTCGTCTTCGTGGCCGCGGAGTTGGCAGCGCAATTGGTATTCTTTGAAATCGATGTCCATTAGAGCGAGAGAGTGAGTTTTTGGGAGTGATCGGAAAAGAAAAGGGTTCTAGTTCGATGAAGTTGAGAAGACGAAGAGTTGTGAGGGGTTGAGGAGCATATAAATGTTTGGGTGCGAGAGCATCACAAATTAGCTTGTTCTCCAAGTTCTTGATACTAGATTTGTCAAGAAAATTTTTAACTCTTTTATGGAACCTTTTTTATTTGGTATTGAACACTCTTCCCCTTTTTCCTAATTTTATTTTGTTTTTATTTGAAATTTTTAGAGGAATACACCTTAATTTTTATCTATTTATCTTCTTCGATTCATTTGAAGTGACAGTGAGAATTGAGATGGGTGTTTAAGTGATAAAAATTAGTGTGTAGATAGCATTACCTTTTAAAAGTAGGAACTGGGCCAGATTTTTTTATGGATCTCAGAAATAGATATTTTTAATTTCAATTTAATAAGTTTTGGAAAATGATTAATTCATTTCGTAATTAAAATTTGTGCCAACTTTATAACTTTTGGAAGACTAAAAATTATGGGAGTTGTATGGTTTCATCCATACTAAGGGAGTTGTAATTAAGAAAATAAAATCATATTTGAGTATATTGTATAACAAATAACAAATGAAACATATCTAAAATTAATAAGTATATAATTAAATGTAGTAGAGTTAGGGAAATTTCAAAAAATTTCGGGTCGACTTCATAATTTCAAATACATTCACTATCCAATTCTTTTCGAAAATTAAAATTTCAGTTTCATATTTGAATCGGATAGAATATTTTGGAATTTCTTGAATTGAAATCTGATATTCCTATCTAAGTTGCACCGAAGTCGAAACTATACAATGCATGAAAATTGCACATATGTTTTCATCAATATGGTTATGTCTAATACGTTTTTTTTAGAATTTGTGTGGAATTGTTATTAGAAGAGCTAAGAGGTTGTTTGATAATACTTTATAGAACAATTTTTGTTTACATGAGTGTAAAATGCATTTATTATGTTGTTTTTAAATAACAAAGTCACAAAATGAATTGTGTTTTCCAAGAATAGAATCCAAAAGAAAAATAAATAAAAAAACAAAGATACATATAAAGATAATTAGTGTTCAACTATTTTTTATCATCAAAACCGACACATCAACCACCATTGTCACCACTATCCTTGTCCCATCCCGGTCCGGGCTCCCACCACATCCCTGGCTCGACTCCACCGTAGCACGATATTGTCTACTTTGGGCCCCGACCACGCCCTCATGGTTTTGTTTTTTGAAACTCACACGAGAACTTCCCAATGGGTCACCCATCATGCGATTGCTCTCGCGCGAACTCACTTAACTTAGGAGTTCCAATGGAACCCGAAGCGAGTGAGCTCCCAAAAGGTCTCGTGCTAGGTAAAGATAGGAATATACATATAAGGCTTACAAGATCCTCACCCCTGGGCGATGTGGGATCTTACAATCCATCTCCCCTTAGGGGTCTAACGTCCTCGTCGGCATACCTCTGGCCAGGGATTGCCTCTAATACCAAATTGTCACATCCCCGCCCGGACCCCTACCACATCCCGGGCTCTACTCCACCGTAGCATGATATTATCCGTTTTGGGCCTCGACCACGCCCTCACAGTTTTGTTTCTGGAAACTCACACGAGAACTTCCTAGTGGGTCACCCATCATGCGATTACTCTCGTGTGAACTCGCTTAACTTTGGAGTTTCGATAGAACCCGAAGCGAGTGAGCTCCTAAAAGGCCTCGTGCTAGGTAACTATAGGAATATACATATTAGGCTTACAAGATCCTTACCCCTGGGCGATGTGGAATCTTACAATCCTCATCACTATCACCATCGCCACCTCTCTCGCCAAGGCTGGCCTAGGCCCAATGCCAACAAGACGCCTGTCCAGGGGCCAAAATTGAAAAGGACGCCAAAAAAAAGTTTCCAAATATTTAGGTATTAAAAAAAGGGGTAAATTACATTTTACCCCATCAAGTTTAAGATCGATTTCAATTCCTTACAACATCTTTAAAACATTTCACTTTCATACCTCACATACTATTTTATTTCAATATAATACATCTATTACATTTTCTATCCATTGGTCTGTTAAGAGTTGACGTGGCTGCCACATGGCAAAAATAATAATTTTTTATACATTAAAAATATTATAATATTAACCCTATTTAAAAATAAATAAAAAATCCAGAAAAACCTTAACCCAGATCCCTTTCCTTCCCCCTCACCTCTCTACAACTCCCATTTACAAAATCCACCGCTCAGCTGACGGTTCATCCCTATTGAAGCACTTCCATACCTAATTCTACCCATCAACCAACCCATTTACAAAATCCCCACTCCGAAACCCTAATAACCTAACCCCCAAACCCATAGAGAATTTTGCCCAGGCCGTCGAAAAAGTCAGAGTCGACGAAGAGGCTCCGGAGGTGGGCAGCAGTGGCGGTGGAGTTGAAGGAAGCGGTGGGCTTGGGGGTCGAGGAGAAGGGGTTGGGTGGTTGGCCCCCCAAGAAGTTGTCGAACTCGAGAAACATGGCAGGAGGTTGGATGAGGTGAGGCAGAAGAGGTCGAGGTTGGAAGGGTCGAAGATGAGAAGGTCGTCGAAGTTGGGTAATTGAGTGATTAAGCAGAACATAGGGTTGATTAACTTGAAATTCAAGAACATTAAGAACCTGCTGAGGAGGGTAATTGGGAGTGTAGGGCCTCGTAATGTGACGTTATGTCTCGTAAAACACCGTACGAGTTGCTTCATCCATGGCGTAATGATTCGGCGTCATTTTTCCACCCTTCAAGATCTCAAACACTAGACCTCAAAAACCACACCCGCATCTCAAATTCAACATTTTACAGATGAGAGAGAGAAAGAGAGAAAGAGAGAGAGAGAGAGAGAGAGAGAGAGAGAGAGAGAGGTGAGACCAGCGCTGAGGGGTGCTTGGGTGGAATGGATGAAAGGGTGGAGGGGATGGATAAAGAGGGGATGGACGGACAGGAAGGAAAAGATGGGTAGGGGGTGGGTGGGATGTAGAGTTGCGGGGAAGGATTTCTGGGTTTGTTTTTTTTTTTTTTTTTTTTTTTTAAATAGGGTTAATATTATAATATTTTCAATATATAAATTTTTTTTTTGCCACGTGGCAGCCACATCAACATAAATGTGGCAACTACGTCAGCTTTTAACGGACCAATGGATGGAAAATGTAACGGATGTATTATATTGAAATAAAATAGTGATTAAGGTATGAAAGTGAAATGTTTTAATGATGTTGTAAGAAATTGAAATCGACCCCAAACTTGAGGGGGTAAAATGTAATTTACCCTAAAAAAATTATTTTGTCCAGAGTCCAGAATAAACGCTAGAGTGGAACAGTCCATGCTTTGGGGCATAAAAATTAAAAAATTAACAGAAGGAGGACACTTGTCTCCCAATTAACCCTTACACATTTGAAACTTTCCCTAATCTCCACCCCTATTGCCCTGCTTTCTGCCTTCTTTCTCCCATTGGATACAAGTGCAACATTCAACTCCTAAAATTTCAAAATTTCAAAATTTCATTACAAGATTCCCATTGGTTGCAACTGCAAGTTGCTGCACTATAGCTTCCAAAGCCACTGAGGCACAGCCCATAAGTCCTTTTTAACGACCAGCCCGCAAACTTTTTTTTATAAAATTTAAATTATAAATTTATAATTTAATATGAAATTTTCCAAGTGATGTAGAATTATAGCGTAATATGGGTATCGATTATTGATATGAATCATATAATTAGTGATGTATAGAATTATTGTTTATTAATGAATTGAATTCTTGATTATTGATTAATTGAATTATTGATTCAATTCCAAACCAAAATTTTTTGTTCAATTTTATCAATTTTTATAATATGTTTAGTGCTTTTTTATAATATATAATATATGTTGGAATGATAATTTTAATTGAAATTTTTTTTATATCGTATGTAGGTGGTGAAATCTTGTCCTCAGATTTCACTATTTAAATTCGGCGTATAGTTTTTCTTCAATAAGTAAAAGGATGAAAACACCCTTAATGAACTAAACAGACTTTTTGAGGACGTATCTAATTTCTATATGTTTTGTCACTTTTATGTATATATTTGGATAGAGCTTGACCTCACGAGTGTGTAGGCGGAAACTGTTCGCCAAAGGGAGCTATAATGAATGAGATATAAACAAGCAAAGACTAGGGTGAAATGGTCATTTGGCCATTATCAGGAATGAGATATAAACGAATGAGGGAAAGGAGAAAAGGGGAAGGCCAGCCAACCTAGGTCACTTCTCGATCCATTACAGAAGCGTGATCCGACTTGGTCCTTGCATGAATTTCCGACATGAAATCGTCGATTTTTCCGTGAAATTTGTCTAACCACCACCTAAAATCAACTCCACGACCCTTCTTCCTACATTTACACTCAAATCCAGTGAGTTTTGGCTCTAGTTTTGCGAAGAACGGCGTCGGTGGCGCCGAGGGTCCCATGGCGGTGATGCGCCATTCCTGAAGCCAATTCCATGGACCACCACCACCAATAGACTCCCCTCAACCTCAGGAACAAAGCCCATGCATTGGTTGGGGAGTCGAAGTTCGTTTTGGCATTGAATCAAGAGCATCAATTTCTAAGGTTTTCGATAGATCGAGGCAATTTTCGGGTATTTTCTGGCCGAATTGGACTTTGGTCTAGGTATGAAGTTGTTCCTTTCATTGAGCTCCATTTTCCTGTGAAATTTGGTAATTTTTAGAGTTAGTCGAAAAATTGGGTTTCCTTTCATCTGAAACCGCCACCTACAATGGCGTGTGGTCAGTGGGCTGACGATGACTTTTTAAGTTAAATTAGATGTCTTGATTTCAGATTTGATATCTGCTTGATGTGATTTGATTGTTTGAACATATTTTCATTATGGTACGCCACTTGATCATTATATGAATCGACGATTCGACCGTTGGATCGTCACCAAACTTTAATGCGCTATAGTACATAATATTTAAGGACATTAGAAACTTACGGATCGGGAATCTGACATACAAATCTAGATGAACTGAATTTTTAAGTTTGTAAAACTAATATATGTGATATGGGGTGTGCTATCCACACACCCCTTTTTACTTCTCCCACACCTCTTGTTAATTTCTATCATTTGATTTTCTTTAATTCATCCGATCTAACGACCGAAAATTAAAA